GAGACAGGGAAGAGTCTGGTTTCCATTCCATCTTCTTCCAGCAGGGCATGGAGATAAGGAGATAGGGAGGAGAAAAGGAAGCCATGCGAAAAACACAAAGGCCCTTCCACGCCACCCTGGAAAAAGGACCTGGCGTCAGACTTCCCATCTGCTCCTCACTCCCATATGACACCTGAGCCACAAGGCGAGGCAGGAGCACAAAGCAAGCCATCCTTGTTATGTTTCCTCTGTGCCCATCTCACTGCTTCCTCTGGACAACCCTCATCCCCATTGATGAGTCGCAGGCTGCCACCCTGTTCTTGCTGCGCTGGGAAGTTGTGAATTGCAGCCATTGCCACTGCAGGCCGAAAAGGACCTTCATTCCAGTTTGTCACTGAAAAGTGTTAACTTGTTACAAAAGCAGCTTATTAGAAAAATGTGTTACCTCCAGGCCCTGGATGCAGGAACATCTTGTATTTATGCTGTTTAACGAGATGCAGGCACAGCTTCCTTCTCATGTGCTCACCAGTACCTTGAGGGGAATTCTCATTGACATGCTTGAAGGAGGAAAATAGGTCAGTTCATCTGACGAATATTTGGGATGGTGCCCAGGAAGTGGAGCCCAATTCAGTAGCTGCTCCCTGATCATTTGTTTGCCCAAGATGCTAGATGCGAGCAATTCTTTTATAAAGCACCTTGAAAGTTGAGAACAGAGTTTGCTGACTAGATGTTTCCTTCCCCAAGGGGAATGGAGGTTGAGAAATCAGGCCAGAGGGGGTGAATTCTTGGTAGACCCTAGTGGTGGGTGTAACTTTTAAAAACAGAGTGAAAAAAGAGAGAAGGATATGTCCTATCTGGCAGGATAATTATTTTAAATAGAAGTGTCCATCAGTAAGCTAATTCTGGAAGTACATTTCTCTAGGTTTAGTGATCTTACTCCTGAGACAGAGGAACCTTTTTAACAGAAGTCCAACACAAATGACCAAAATAGAAGAGAGTGCCATGGTTATAACAAGTAAAGCCAAGAATTGGCAGTCACTATTTATAAATGGCTAAATTAGATACAGGCGGACCTTCTTATCTGTAGGATCAGTATCCACTGATTCACTTATCCACGGTCTGAAAATATTAAAACAAAAATATCTGAAATACATATTTTTAATGGTGAAGTTACCAGAGGGAATCGGAGATCATGCTATGTATAGCATTCACTATAATCTGCATTTGTCAACATCTGCGGGTTGTATGTCTTGGAAGCAATGCTCTATGGATACAGGGGTTCCACTGTAATTTTTTAAAATTAGGATCACCTAGACATTACAGAAGAGTCACAAAGGGGACACTATGGAGCCTTTTCTTCTCCTAATTGTTATTCCAGAATGACTGACAAAGTGTCTTCTAGAACAGCGGTCCCCAACCGTTTTTGGACCACAGACCGGTTGAGGGGTGCAGGCTCCGTGCATGGGGGGGCGGGGTATGCCTGCGGGGTGAGAGTGTCGCACTTGTGGAGGGATGTGTTGCGCTCGTTTGCATGCCCGCAAGCACAACATGCACACCCACGAGCACGACACGCCAACCCGTGAGTCTGACACACCTCTCCACCAGCATGACACTCCCACCTGCAAATGTGACACACCCGTTGTGCATGCATGCGGGTGGGGTGGAAGTCCATGTCCTCGGCCCAGTTCAAGGAAGCCCATGGACCAACACTGGGTCACAGACCGGGGGTTGGGGACCCCTGTTCTAGAAGACTCAAACCCATTTCAGTGATTCTAATAAAATAGATCATCTAAGTATCTGTTTCACTTTTACTCATGGGTCATGGCTGAATTCTTTTTTATATTCAAAGTGATCCAGTGCAAACCCAAGCGCATCTTTCAACGTGATGAGGCTGAAACTACCCGGTGTTATCCTGAGTGGGAA